TAGGCATAAACAGTGCAACTGAGTGCTCCTCAGCTAGTTTGTGGGTGACACCAGGCTAAGTAGTATAGTTGCTACAACAGAAGGAAGATACGCCATTTAGGGGGACTTGAACAGGCTTGAAAAGTAGGCTCACTAGAACCAAATGAGGTTCAACAAGTCCAAGTGCAAGGTGCTGCATGAGGAACACAACAATCCCAGACCTGAGTACAGACTGGGAGAAGAACTACTTGAGAGCACCCCTTGCAGAGGACTTGAGTGTTCTGATGGACAAAAGGCTTGATACAGTCCAGAATTGTGTATTTTCAGCCTCGAAGGTCAAATTGTGTCCTCCACAAGAGGGATGGCAAGTGAGGAGAAGAAGGGGATTGTCCCTTGTTGTCCTCATCAGGCTCCGTCTGGAGTACCGCATCCAGGCCCGGGACCACCAGCCCAAAGGAAGATGTAGAACTGTTGGAGCAGGTCCAGAGGAGGCCACAAAGATGATCAAAGGACTGGAGCACCCCTCCTGTGAAGACTGGCAAAGGGAACTGGATTTGTTCAGTCTGGAGAAGGCTCTAGGAAGACCTCATTGAAAATTTCCAGTACTTATGAGTACTGGACTTATAAACACTTATGAGCCTGACTTTTTGCACAGGCATATAGTGGTAGTGCAAAAGGGAACCGTTTTAAACTAAAAGGGAGGAGATTTAGGTTAGATTTCTTCCTTGTATCTCAACACATCAGAGGATGTTGAGGCACTGGCATAGGCTGCCCAGAGAAGTTGTGGTACCCCATCCCTGGACGAACTCAAAGCCAGCTTGTTTGGGGCCCTGGGAAGCCTGAGCTGGTGGATGGCAGACCTGCCCATGGCAGGGTGGTTAGAACAAGATGATCTTTAATGATCCTTCCAACTCAGCCATTCTGTGATTCTATTGCCTTTTGACCTATTCTTAGCTAAAGAGAGGTTGTGATTTAAAACCATTAAGCCAGAAACAGGCAAGAGGCCAACCATCATGTACCATCAACGCCACCAAGTATACACGTTAATGAGCCCCAACAGGGTAATAAAATAAAATGCTGCCTTAAAAGACTCATTTTTTTCCATCATAGACTTTGCATGTTCATGAATATTTTGTCGTTTGCCCAAGAAGATTAATTAGAATTTTGAGTGTTCTGTATCAAACATCTCCTCAAATGTGTTGATATATCTTTTTGTGAATGAAGACTAGCCTTGATCAAATGCTGTGAAAGTCACAGAAAGCACACCTTTTATCCATTGCTGTACTAACTGTGGTTAGGCTGTTTATTGTGGAGAGAGAAGACTGTTGATAAGTTGATGTTGAAGTATTTGAGAAAGGAAACTTTCTGGAAGCATTATTGCTAGATAAGGTTGCAGGAAACTGAAGCCTGTTTGCTTGGGTGAAAGGTAGGATTGTGGTTCAGAAGAGAACAGCTGGCCTAAAAATTAGTGGGAGTAAGGACAGGAGTAAGGGTAAGAATCTTTGAGTAGGACAATCATTACGCAGAAAACAAAAAACACTTAAGCAGTTATGAATGATCAGAAAATTACAGAAATACCTTTTGTTGAATTTTTTTCTTTTTTGGTCAGGCTTTGTAATTCAGGTGAGTATAAAGGGAAAATTTCCCCTTTTCTCTTGATCAGTTCATACTAAGAAAATTCCTGTGAAGTCATCAAAGCATGTATGCCATTTGTTATATTGTTTCATTACAGATTACGATAATTTATTGAACAGGCAAACATGTTTATCATATAGCCTCAAAAGTGCCAGTTTTAGATAAGGAAAAGTTCAAAGTGTACAATGAGAGAGGTATCCTGCAAGCTACAGTCTAACCAAGAGTGAATCACCTCAGTTAAAGCAATGTAGATTAAATTAATCTAATCAGGCCATACCATTATTCCAGTTAATACTTATTTTACTTTATCACTTTTGATTTATGAAGAAAATGTGGCATATCTAGTCTCCCAAAGCATGGACAACTCTATCTGACAATCTCTGTGAGAAAAACAAACCCGTAAGGAATCAAATGAGTTTTTAAGAGGCACTAAGCTTCTGTTCCCAAGCTTTATACTTCTCCTTTATGTTAAGAGTCAGCTAAAATGCAGGATAGCCTGAAGGTCAAATTGCAGGAGCTAGTTTGAACTGAGTGGAATAAAGACATCTTTAATCAAGAAGCCACCTTGGGAGTCAATGGTAAGGCAACATGCTCTCTTACCTGAGCAGACACAATGTGGGGAGAGAAAAGGATTTGTAACATAATGTCTAGATTGAAATGAATCACTGAAAAAATTAAAGGATAGTGGTACTGACCACCGACATCAGTGAAGCAAAATGGATCACCTGAGTGTGGAGGTTAAGGGGATACTCAAGCCTAAAAGCTTGAAAGGCTTCCAAGTATCTCCAATGGTGTTTGGCAGACACAGGAACTGCATAGCACCACAACACTTCCCTGAGATATATGCTGGGTCCAACCTGTACCCTAGCAGTATGATTTCAGCCTTTCACCATAGACAGACAAGGTTTGCAAAGGGATCCACTGGAAAATGGGAGTTTGTCCCCCTTGGTAAAAATTACTGCAGATCCCAAAACATACATCTACCCTCTTTCTGTCCAAGTATTTATTTTGCCCAGTAAAGGACGATAATACTTAGAACATTCATGTTGTCTCTTGTTACTTTTCTGCCTAAGCATGACTCCTAGCTTGCCATGAACCTCAGAGCGTGCCAGTCATACAAAGACAGTTTCATACTCAGGAGGTGAGAAAGATGCTGTGGTTATTACTTGCCATTTGTGTTCCTTCATCCAGCCCAATTAGTAACATATCCACTGTTTTTGGCTGCCATACATGTGCATTTCACACCATTTGAACTAAACAGATTTAAAATGAGCAGGCGGTATAATTCATGCACAGCCAATACAAGAGAGTTTCCTGTTTCAACTGTGCCCTGTTGCTCCCAAAAGCATATATGCACTTTATGCCAAGCTATTTACCAAATTAGTGAAAAAAAAATACACTGAGTGCTAAAATGCACTTCAAGCCTATAGTAATTCATTCAGATATGTCATGAATGTTGTCCCATTCCAAGGGGTTAGGAACAGCTTGGCAGAAAGGTAGTTTTCAGATATTTAACATTTAGTGCATTAACTGCTCGATGCACCAGCCAATATTTTTTTGTTGTTTTTTGGGGGTTTTTTTGTCTTTTTTTTTTTCTTATGTTTATATACCCAGGATAGCCAACAAAGGTAAAGAATTTTTCCCTCCATATATTAATTTTTTTTTTTTAAAGGAAAAAAACGGAGAAAAAAAAAAAAAAAGAGAGAAAAGAAAGAAAAATATCATTTTGTAATTAGCTTTGGTTTTCCTGGAAGCAAGCTGAATCAAAATTTATTTCAAAAATGTTCTGAGGTTCAGCATGCAAAACAGTTAAGTTTCTGTTTTTCTTGGCCCCTCACAAGAGTACCATCTGGTACTTCACAGCTTTGGTTTCTACCTGTTCCCAAAGCACACAGCCTGTCCATGTAACAGTGTGTCTTAGGAGGAGGAGAGAGTAATATTCCAGACTTCTTTAGTGAAATTTGGACAAACAGAAATTTCTGCTCAAATCAGGGCTATGTGTTGATGACTTGTTTGTTTCATTGCGTGAGGAGCCAGGGTAAAAATGAACTATTTGTTTTCATTTGAAACTCTATAAAAAGTAACAGGATTGAAATATTATTGTATGTATGCTGGAAGACTGAAGCCCAAGTCATCTGCTGCTGTTTTTGTCTCTAGTCCATGCCTCATTTACCAGGGTGAAATTCTTGGGGAAGTTTTTGGTCTCGTCTACACTCTGCTTTACAAAAGCAATGCCAGTTTGTACTGTATAACCAGCTGTGCTAAGTTACATTCCAGGCTTGCTTCCCCCCTTCTATAAGCTGATTACTAGAGTGCAGGGAGCATAGTGACATTTTACAACAAAAGAAATAAAAAAAACTTATTTGTAGTAGCAAGTTTTCCCCTTTTCCTTCTAATTTTGAGAGAAGAAATCACAGCTAACAATATCACAGGGAATACAAACAAAAGGTTTGGCAGATAGGTACTCAGACACTGTAACCAGAAAGACCCTAGCAATGCCTTTAGCTGCAGGACAGCTAAAGGCAAGTGCGGAAACAAGTCTAGTTGAAAAGTAATGTAGATCCTCCTGGTTCACAAAGGAAAACCAGCTTTGTTCCTTTTTTGCAGCAGCACATCACGGAGAAAAAAAGGAACTTATCTGTAAATCTCTTTAGAGCATGATCTCTATGAGAAAATAAAAAGGAAGCAAAAACAAGCTACACTGAAGTAGAGGGGAGTTTTCAGCACGGGCTCAGACTCTGATTACTGAGGATAAGCCAAACCTGTTGTAAACAATAATGCAGTAATGTGAAGACACATGCAAAATTTGGAAGAAAATGCATGATGTCCTCCAACTCCGACATGTTTACATTCCTTGTAGCTACCACTAAAAACTTACATAATCTTTTCTTATACAGATAGGTAACGAGGACTGGATAAAGTTCTAGGCAAGTTTTCCTAGCATGTTAACTAAAACTGATTTCTCACTGAAAAAAGATACAAGAACTGGCTGAAAGACATTCAAAATATACAAAAAAGCCCCAAAATGCTGTGTATTTCTTTAAGAAAAAGTATCTGACAGGCAAATACTTACAAAGTTAGATCCAGCCCCCCTGACCAACACACAAAAATATCAGTCACATGCATTACAAACCTTACATTCAGGAGCTTGCACTAGTGGAAAGACCAAACCAAGACAGCTTTTCTGTATCATTGCTAAACTGCTGTATCTCCAAGTTCACAAGAAGATGTAAGCTTATAAACAGATTTTTCTTCTACAGACAGTTTCTAAATTCTGAAATGACTATTACAAGAAATAGGAAAATAACCTCCTCATTAGCTTTCATTTCCAGACAGTATCCACAGTACAGTTAAGCATGTATGCATTTCTGACAAATACCTCTTACCTGTAAAAGAGCAATGTTCAGATTCCTTACTAGATGTTATCGTCATGACAAGTCAAACAATCTTTTTTATAAAAGGTTGAATGTCTTTTCAATAAAGCATGTGTGTATAGTTTAAAAAAACATTAAAAAAAAAAAAATCAAAACACCATCAGAGTCTCCCTTCCCTCACTGTCAGTCAAAAACAAGTTGGAATAAGTCTGAGTTGAAATTACCTGAATAAAGAGACTGGAGAGAGAGAGGGAGGAGAGGGAGGGAGGGGGAAAGAGAGAGAAAAAAAAAAGTCTGAGAGGAGATTCAGTGATGTCAGCAGTATGTCTTAAGGAAATCTACAGCTGAGCCCGGCAAACTTTATAACTACATAGCACTCAACACCCAGTTACGTGGTAAGTAAATACCTGCTTAAAAGGAAACTGATGTACTTTTAAAGAACGTCAGTTAATCTTTGAAGAAACTTTAGCCAAGCTGATCAAAGTCCCTTAAAGGCCTTATTGCCTAAATAAATAAGGTTGCAAGTGGTTGTATAACGCTAAGAGCAAGAAGAATTAAAAGTCAACGTTATTGATTACCATTTTCCTGTTGGCAAAAGGAAGGCTGAAACTCATCTGAAATACATTTGTACCAGGGTTGTAATGTACTGAGCTGTAACAGCTACAGATGCAGCTAAAATCCCTGACCACCAAAGTTTCCAGTCTGTTTAGCCACGATGCTCTTCCTCTTTGATGATTAATTCTAGGTTGGCTTCAGTGCCTTTCTGCTCAAATAAGAGTAGATGGAAAAAACACAGATAGTGCTGATTAGATTAGGGGAAAGTTGGGTACCTTAAGTAGAATGAGGAAGAGATGCAAGTTCTTGCCTGTATACTGCTGTAGGTACCATACTAGTGTTCAATAGGATTTCTGGAACAAAATGAAAAGAGCTGCTGTGAAAGGGAAGACAATGCAACACTAGAAAGACTAATGTTGTTGTCCTTGGACATCATTCTTCTGTGTCTATATTCCCAGAGGTAATTCTTCCAGGAGCTACGTATCTCAACAAGCCTGTCCAACACAGTACAACAGCATCACCTGCAGAGCCATCCCACAGCACTATGATGCCAGGTTGCTTTCACTACTCCCTTATGCTCAGGGGAAAGAGGAAATCAGCCCAGGGTGAACAGTTTACTAGCAAGATTCTGCGCAACTGAGACTCATGGAGAAGACGTTAGCAAAAGTAAAATCTCTCCTTTCCTCAACAGCACTGACAATCAGACATTTATTAACAGCCATTATTAATGTAATGATATGCAACCATAGGAAACTAAAGGATGGAATTCTGCTGTCATGTGGTCAAGTATGTAGGCATTCAGGCAGTGCCAGTAGGCAGCAGCTGTTTTGCATTTAAAAGGACAACAGTTAGATGAGATTTTTTTCTTTCTTTGCCAGAGACTGAGGAATTTCACACGACTTGGATTGTTCCCCAAATCCATGAACCTGTTACACTGGTATCTCTTTCTCTATATTTACTATGAGGGAGATGGCAACAGCTCCTATCAGTTTTCATTATAAAATAAATGTTTGTGAATGGATTTTTCTGTTTTCAGATAGGCACTTCTATTTACACAACCCTCTAAAGCATCATGGGATGAAACACCTATACTAGAAATTCTTTTTCACCATCCAGTGAAATTATGTTTAGTTGTAACTGAATTATACGTTATTAAAACTCCCCACTTACAACTTTCCTTTTCTTTCTTCTGTTAAAGTTTGGGAAACTGCTCAAATCATAACCAAATATGAATACTCTAATATGCTAGTCCCACACATTCCCCAAATCAGCATCATGCTGCCTGTGAAATCACATGTAGTGTTGGGGGTCATGAGCAGAGGGTTATACTGAGATAGATTGAAGCATTTCACACTTTGTGCAAGCATACTCCAGTTCCATTTTTAATTACTGTGCTGTTTTGCTAATACCCAGTGTATCCCTGTCACATTCTGGAAGACAGATCAATGGGACAGAGGAATGGAATTTAAGAAGTAAGGACATCCCTCAACTCAGCACTTGAAAATTTATATGCTTTTCTTTGAACATAAGTTTTCATCCATCCATTTAGCAGAGAGCACGTGGGTGATCAGGGCTCTTAGTAGGAAATACTGTCTCCAGGAAGATACAAAGGGGTTTCAAGAGATGACTGAGTTGATGTCATGGGTCGGACATGGACATACAGAATGATCATCCAACTTCCCATTCCCCACTTTTCCTCTGTTTTAAATGTGCTGTCCATTACTCAGTGCACATCCAGAAGGGATGAGGAAAAACAGGACGTGGGTTTCTTCAGCTCAGCTGCCTGGCAATAGCTGTCTGTGCTCAGCTCTTGTTGCTCCTTTATTAGTAATAATTTTAAACAAGCATCATTTCCCGGTGAGTGATCATATGCTGCTGAATTGTTCCCATATTGCTGCTGAAGTGGGCTAATTCCCCAGACAAGCTAATTTGTTAGCTCATGCTCTTCAAAATTTGTAAACTCACTTGCTATTTTTTAAGTTTTATTTCTATGCTAGAGCTCATAAACTTGTTTCCTTACAGCAGCAAGTGGTAAGAGTTTGAAAGTTTGGACTAGATATGTTTAAATACTTATCCAAATGTCTACAATCAATATAGCTGAGCGGGAAGTCCCGTGATGATAAGAGGCTTGGCTCAGGGTATTTTCAGCTCTTATGTACAAAGTAAATTGTATGGAGTATAGCTTAGAAAAAAGTATAGTTAGTTAAAGAGACAATAAAATATACTGTGGTAGAAGAAGTTAGTCCTATATATCAGACCTGTACCTCCAACTTATCTTGAATCCAAAACTCCGTTCTTTTTCTGAAAAAGTGCTTTGGCACTTTCTCAGCTCGTAAGAACGTGCACACCAGGAAGGGAAAGAGACACAGTGACATTCCAACTCCTATCTGTTCTTCTCAGGATCAAAACACTAAAAATTTTTTTGTTCCTATAAACCCCAAATTCACAAGCTGAAAGCCATTAGGTACAGCATGCAAAGAAAGAAAACCAGACACCAGGCTAGAAACGGATCTTACACAAAATAAGATCAAGATATCTTGAGCCTACATGTCACCTAAGAATCACTAAACATCTCTTTGTAATTTTATATGCTAAATATTCATGTAAAGCTCACCCCTGTGTCCCTAGCCCAGATCTCCAAAAGCACTGAGGATTACAGCTCCCAGAGAAATCGCTCAAGTGCCCAGTGCTGTTTTGCATGTGTAGTCCCTCACACTCAGACTCCCTCTGTAACACTGGCAGTAGTGTTTCAAAGCAAATCTTAATAGTTATTCTGCAACAAATAAAAAAAATGGAGGAAAAGCACAAAAATTTACCTCTTGTAATAGCACATTTTTTTTTAGTGCACCCTCAGAATCAAAACAATTTGGTAAAGTGTTCTGCTGGTTCCAGGCCAGAAGCACCCTGCTATGATCTGTGGTGCTTTGCATTCGACAGCAATTTCAGTTCTGCAGCCGAAACACTACTTTTATGTTTCAGTACTAAGCTATCGGAACTTAATGTTTTCTGCATGTACCAGCTGGCTTTCCACCTTAATCTACACGAGCTATTTTTTCTACTTTTATTACGGGCTTTTGAAAAATTGCATCAGTAATACCAAGGTCTTCAGTTAATAGAAGTGTAGAAAAGCCAGTAGGAATGTTGCCTAAATTGTCTATGGGCTCATTACTTCAAAATGTGTCTTGATTTGAAAGCAAATACTATAAAACAAATACAAGAGAAACTATTCATATACCGCTAACAAAATGTAGCACATGATGCAGAACTAAGCCCAAATACCATTTTCTCAAGCATTATTTGAATTATATCGAGCAATTCAGTATGAGACACCTCCAGGATTAAAACTATTTCTAATTATTATTATTATTTTTAAGCACATTGCTGTGCACATGAAGGAATTTAATTAAAAAATAAGAAAGTAACATGAAATTTATTTTCCTACTCATAACCTTTTTAGAAGATCCCCTACAGCTTAAGTTTTACTGACTTTCTTATATGGAGATAGAAAAATATACTTTTCAGACCAGAACACTTGAACACAAGACATCAAAAGTATTTAACCCAAAGCTGGATCTTGTTAAACACAGAGAAATGTTTCTGCAAGTTTGCCTTTTTTTTTTTACTGTGCATTTTCATAGAATCATAGAATCATAGAATCACTAAGGTTGGAAAAGACCTAAAAGATCACCCAGTCCAACCGTTCACCTATTCCCAATAGCTCCTACTAAACCATGTCCCTCAACACAACATCCAGTCTTTCCTTGAACACCCCCAGGGTCGGTGATTCCACCACCTCCCTGGGCAGTCCATTCCAGTGCCTGACCACCCTTTCTGAAAAGTAATACTTCCTCATGTCCAGCCTGAATCTCCCCTGGCGTAGCTTGAAACCATTCCCCCTGGTCCTATCACTAATGACACGAGAGAAGAGGCCGACCCCCAGCTCACTACAACCTCCCTTCAGGAAGTTATAGAGAGCAATAAGGTCTCCCCTGAGCCTCCTCTTCTCCAGGCTGAACATTCCCAGCTCCTTCAGCCTCTCCTCATATGGCCTGTGTTCCAGACCCCTCACCAGCTTTGTTGCCCTCCTTTGAACACGTTCCAGGGCCTCAATATCTTTCTTGCAGTGAGGGGCCCTTTATTCTTTAATTGCCCTTTTTTCTTTAATTGTTTTAAAATAGTCTCCTATTTTTGATATTTTTCTTCTGTGAATTTGAGTATTCATTTGTAGGTAAGTGAACTGTGAATCAAAACATTCATCTGTTCCTGATTGTCAGAATTCTTGATAAAATAGAACTCATTACACACATTCCTCTGAAATTATTTAAAACTTTAAGTGCTTTAGGGAATGCGATTCTCTGCACATGTATGTACAAATGGGCACATGAAGTTTCCTGCTCCAAGGAAATCAGTAACCACACACTCATTGCAAATGTGCACTACTAGGAACCATGATGCACATTTTTCCATCTTCTTTCTTTTGTCGCCTCTGTGTTGACATTGCAACAGTGGCAGCAGCAAGGAATTCATGGCGCATTACCTAGCCTGCTACAGTTTAAAGCAGTGGTTTGTGTACAAACCCTCTACCATATGTTCTTTGCATTAGGAGTGGTTGTGGCTGACAGTGTTGTTCCTAAGGGAAATTTAAGCACATGAAAAGCACATAATTGGAACGGGATTTTATTCCACTTGACGAGCTTCACACGGAAGGATCTGGCTGAGAAGGACCCAGCTCTGTTCTCAATGAAGCAAGTAGTGACCTTGGAAATCGTGTTACCACAGCAGTTAGTGCTTTCA